CTCAATCCACCTCCTCGCATCCAGAGCTGCTATATCAGAATTCCAGTCACCAGCTAAGATCCAGTCAAAGCCCGCAGCATTCCAAGAAGCAGCTCTCTGAGCGATGGCCCAAAGTATGGAAATATTCTCACCTGTCAGGCCGATGCTTGTCACCAAGTATGCACTGACCACAATCACACCACCAGGGACTCCCCAATTGACAAAGCTGGCCACCACTCTGCCTGGATAAACAATGGGGTCGCCGTCGGGAGGCTTCGTGATCATCACATTCGTGGGCACCAGGATTGCAACTCCACAGTGGTTGGCCTGCGGGCCCTTGGCGTTGGTCGCCAAGGCTGGTGCCCGCATGCCGTGGAAGCCGAGGTCCTTGGCTCGGTGTTGGAACTCCCCGAGGCGTGACTCCACGATCCTCGTCTCCTGCGCGCAAATGATCTTTGCCTTCACCACGGCCAGAAAGTCGAACAACGGACCGAAAGAGCTCGCATTCACCGACAGAATTGTGCCTGCGATGGCAGGTGGAGAAAATTTGCCCTCCAACTCACCCGGCTTAGATATATCAGACCCGACGCTCACGCTACCGCGCCCGAGATCCAAATGTTCATCAGCGGGGGCAGAGGGAAATGACGAAGCTGCGCCTGCTGCTTCATCGCGTCCTGATTCACGTATTTTCGAGAGGCTCGGGCAAAAAGTGGAAACGAGGTCGTCGGCCTCCCGCTCGGCATCAAGAAACTCGAACGGGTCGTACTCACCGTCCATGTTTGATCCCACCATGGCTCCAGCAGGTCGGTACCCTCTGCCGTCCAATGTCGCAGCAGGCTCGCAGCGAGGCGAAGAGGGTGAGTGGTGCGTGCCGTGGGGGCCTGGGGCCTCCAACGGTCGGTACTCTCCGCCCTCAGTTGTCCTCAATGCTGCTTGCCCGCCGACGACGGACGGTGAGCAATGCGTACCCCCTGGAGCCGAGAACGCCGAGGAAGCACACCCCATCTGTGAAGCAGAAGCCGCACTCTGCGAGGTACGCGATGCACGGGGTTCCACCTCAGCGCTCTGCTCGGCCAGCCGAGTGAGCGGTGCTGAGGGTAGCCAACACGTGCCAATAGCATTCTCATCCCAAGAGACGCTTGCCGATGCCGCAGAAGACGCCGCACTCTGTGACGTGCACGGTGCACGGGGTTCCGCCCCAGGCCTCTGCTCGGCAAGCCGAGTGAGCCTCCCTGAGGGTAGCCAACCCGTGCCAATAACATCAGAATCTTCCCAAGAGACGCTTGCGCACGGTGTAGCACACGCCGCCGACGTCGTAGTCCTCGGAGAGGTTGCAGATGAAGCTGATACCCCGCTTCGAAGGGACCCGTCATTGCTTGCCGTCATTGCCGCTGAACTGAGTAAGATACAGAGCCCAAAGATGACGACGCTATTGTTTGCGAGCCCGCTTGCACGCCTCGATGTACGTCGTCTGGAACCGCTTGAACCGTTCCGTGACCGCCTCGGCAGAGACACTTTCGTCCGTGGGGATACCTGCCGCGTTGAGCGTCGCCCGCATGTCTGCCTCCTCCATCTCAATGTCAGGGGGTTCGGCTTGATCAGGCTCTTGTGTAGGTGGTTATGCAGTCTGAGGCGGGGGCGGCTTTGCCTGCGGCGCCTGCTGCAACTTGGTGACCGTCTCCGCCATAGCTTGCAGCCCAGCAGTAAGATCAGGCCCCAAGCCCAGAGTGCTGGCGACGCGCCCCAGCTGCTCCACCGACACTGCGAACCCAGGGAGCATCTCGTGGAGCGTGGGCGGCCGCTGCTGCTCGGGCGGGCGCGCCTGGGACATGGCCTTGCGCGTCTCCTCCTCGAGCCTGACCACCTCGGCTGAGGCCTCCACGAGCTTTGTCTCGGCCTTGTCCAAGTGCCCCTGCAGCTCCTGGATCTTGGCCCTCTGCTCTTCGACCGACTTGCGCGCGCTAGACTCCTGGGACCTCGCATGTTGGAGCTTGGCCGCCAAAGACCGAGCTTGGTCCTCGATCGGGCGCCCGTCGAACAGCTCCCGCTCCAAGGTCTCCCTCTCATTCTTGAAAGTGGCCAGCACCGTCGCGTCCTTATCAGGCGAGAGCACGCGGATGATGCCGTCCAGTTCCTTGATGCGCTTGCGCTTGTCTTCCGCACCGTCAGGCTGTGATTGCGCCCATGGTGGCGGTGGCGTGGGCTCGGCCTTCTCCGAGGTGAGCCGCTTGATTTGTTCTTCGAGCTGTGCGCAACGAGCCGCGAGGCCTTTGTCGACTGAGCCAGAGCCCTTAGTGCCCGCAGCATGGGCGCTGGGGTTTTTGCCTCGCTTGTACTCTTTGAACACCACCGGCTTGTGGAGTTGACACTGCTTGCAGTACGACGACCCTCCCGCATTGAACCACGGCTTGCCAGTGACTGAATGGACACACGACTTGCATATCCAAGGTTCATCAGCAGCAGCACGACGAGGAGCCATGGCGCGCGCGGGACTCTGGGCCACGGGCCTCTGTGCAGGGAGGCCGTGACTGCAGTGAAGAAAGAATGCCAGGCCGCAAGCGAGCCTTGCCACGCTCGGGAAACAGAGCGATCCCGTTTTGGCACGGAGGCGCGGAGCCCCCAGTGTGCAGAGCTCTTGAGCCAAAATGGCTACGGAGGGAGGGGGAGGGGGGAAGAGGAGGAGGAGGAGGAGGAGGAGGAGGAGGAGGAGGAGGAGGAGGGGAAGGAGGAGGAGGAGGAGGAGGAGGAGGAGCAGGGGGAGGAGGAGGAGGAGGAGGGGGGAATATGAGGAGGAGGAGGAGGAGGAGGAGGAGGAGGAGGAGGTGGGGAGGCACGAGGACTGCTGCGGGCAGGTCGGTTTCGGAACCCCCGCCGGGCCCCCCCCTCGATTTGACCGCGCTAATCAAGAGAAAAGCTGGCGGAAGGTGGTAGAATAACCCCAGCACGTTTACTGGCGTCCAGCAGAAGATCAGCGGAAGATCGCGGAAGCAGAACAGAATATGGACGTTCGCTTCGAAATAGGACCTTCGGAACACGTCGCGCTGGCACCGCTGACGCCGGGAGATGCCGTGAGAACCAGCTGCGCTCAGCTGACCCCCGTGACCCTCTTTGCCGCCCCACTCGTGCTTCATCCGCCACGACACCTCCTCCGAACGACGTGCCAAGCGGCGTCGTTCTGGACAAGCGACGGACGCGCCACTCGGATCGCACGCAAAGGATTACGCTCCCGACGAGCTCCGATGTCCGACTCTAAGGTGATTGCCATACCACTCCCAAAACCCTAGCAGCATCCTATCTTTGCTGTCAACATGCGTGGACATGCTTTGCCTCGTCACGCGCAGCAGCGGCAGCCAATTCAAACAGCACGGCATCCACATCGGTGCGAAGTGCATCTTCAAGGGCCGGGGGCTGACCGACAGAGACTTCGCCAGGCTGGAGGACACCGCTGGTGGTAATATTGCTTTGCTCGGACTTCCGAAAGTTTTATTCGCAGAGATGATGGCGCCCATGAACGAGCGGCATGACGGCTTGGACGCCAAGGTGTTTCCAATGGGGCCCTTGGCGAACTACTGGCACCTGGACAAGGTGCTCAACTGAGTCTTTGCGCGCGCGCTACCCGCTGGAGCCAAACTCCAGCTCCGGCATCGATTCGGCGACGGGGCAGATGTTGCGCGCAACCAATCCAGATCTCGGCGATGCTTTTTGTCCACCGTCGCAACCCGCGGCCATGGAGGGCCACGGCGCTTCATCGCGCGTCGCAGAGGCGGGGGGCTTGATGGTGGCGCAACCTGTCGGGGCCGTGGCCGACCTACTTCCAGCCCTGAGCCAATATGCACGGGAGATCCGAAACGTAAAACCAAGCGCGGCAAGTGGATCCTTCGCCCTGGCTGTCTACGACGTTGCCTGCGCCGCAATCCCAGCTGCGTGGAGGACAGGGTCGACGCGGATGCGGAGGATCACTATCCGTGCAAGAAGTGCGAAGACGCGTGCCCGACGTCTGGGTACCCCACGCCCGCGCAGGGGCGTTGGCGCCGAATGCGAGGCGCCGTCTGCTTCAAATGCGAAGGTAAAGGAAAAGTGCGCGAGCGCCGCCGCTGCCGTTCGAAGAAGCCGCGGGCCGAGCACCGGCTTGCGCGCTGCCCTGAACGCGATGGGGCGCCGCAGGAGTTGCAGCCGCGAGGCCTGCGCCAAACGGAAAGGCCGAGGGCGGAGTCCCCGCCGGAGCAGTGGAAGGGCCGCGGCAACTGCGCTCGCACTATGTGGCGCCATGACTGCTGGCGCCCGCAGCGCGCAGAGCCAAGCCGCCAGACGCGCAATAATCCCAGAGCGCCAAAATACATGGAGGGAGCTGAACTGGGAGACGCGCGCAGGAGCAGGGAGACAGACGACAATGAGGTCGCGGAGCCAGACGCGACACAGTCGCTGCATTGCTCCATCTGCAAAGAAGACAAGAAATAAGTTCCGCAGCAGCAGCGGAAGCACAGACACTGCACCTGCGGCATCCTGAGAGGCTGCGATTGCTGGCGCACACAGTGCACTGAGCCGTCTGCCAGACGCGCACAGGCTGCAAGGGTCCCACTTTGCAGCTGCATCCCGAGCGCGCGCCGTCGACGCTGGGCGGATATCCAGTCCTTCCGGTGCGAGCACAGCCAAGGCGCTGAAATAAGGAACGCCTCGGGTGCGGAAGGGGCTCGCTGTTCCTTGAGCTCTTCCATGGCTCCTCCTCCATCACCCCTCGTGCACCTAGGCGCTTCTGGGGCCAAGAAGTGGCTTCGTTCCTTGTGTTGCGTTCCTTCTGATAGTAATTTCCTCGACTGCGCTGCCGCGACATCTAGCGTTCGCTCTGCAAGGCCTGGAAGACAACGGCGCTTGCCCAGATCGGCGCTACTGGTGCGCGCCAGCTGCCGTCGCCCGCCGCGCGCGGCGCAGAGCGGCGGGGTCTGCGATGGCTGCGGGAGCATGGGTAAAGAAGACGAGGATGACTTGCAGTGGTATTCTCAGCCGCGCTGCGTCCGGAGCAGATGCCGAAGTCGCTGGCCGAGGTCAACTCCATCCCGCGCAACAGCTGCCGGTTCGCTGCCTGCGTGGCCGAGGACGTCGGCGGTCGCACTTGAGGGTGGGTGGTTTTCAGGAAAACGCGCGCGGCCTTGCAGGCGAATCTGAAAACGCACAGTTTGGGACATTGCCTTTCGGCGGAGACAGGCAAGATTTCGATCGCCGCAGCGATTGCCTGGAATGGCTTGCAAGGTAGGCTGTCTCTGAACAAGTTGGGACTGCTCGCTTTTGTCGCAAGTCCACATTGACCGACTTTCGCGCCCAGCGCATGACATGAATTCAGGGACAATGTGTTAGCGGTCATTTCGCATTGCGCCGTCGATGAGCGATGCGCAGCGCAGGCAACGCGACGATTCCTCGCAGTCCTACACGTGATGGGCACAGACGACTGCGAGGAACCGGCGCACGAAAGGAGGCACTGAGCCAGGTATGCCGGCTGGTTTGCCTACCGCTCGGCGCCCCAGTGCTGCTGCGGACGCGCGGGCGTGGGCGCGCGGGTTCGATTTCGACGACTTCGGCGACCCAGACCCAACAGTGTCTCTCTGGTGGCTTGCGGGGGGAGTCAAGGAGCCGTCGCTTGAACTCTCCGCGCCACTGCTGTTGGAAAAATTGGCCGCCGGGGGGCCAGTGAAGACGGCGGCCGCTGGTGCCCACCCCCGCAGGTTGGCGCCGCTGTCTGAGACTTGGTCGCGCTTCGAATTTACAGGAATACTTAGTTCGCGCATGTCTGCGTCGTGGTCCTGCCGCATGCTGCTTGTCCTCCTTATCCTTCTCTCTTTCCATCTCCCGTGCTCGTTCCCTTGTTCCATGCCTGCGCGTCTGTTTCTTCCTCCGCATGCTTCTCCCCCTGCCGCTCCGTCCTCCGAAGCGCGCTGCCCCCTTCCCTTTCTTCTCCACGGTGCCGGAGAAAAAACAAAATAATTAGCCTGGCGAAGGACCCGACCACATGCAGTTGTGAAAACAGCAATTGCGAAAACCATCTTCGCCCGCGCTCCTTATGTGGCCACGGCTTCCCGCCGGGGCCCGACATGCTCAGGAACGCGTTCGCGGCCGTCTTCGCGGGCGCCGACGACGACAAGGACGGCGCCCCTCTGACCGAGTAGCAGAAGCAGGAGAGGGCTTTGAGAGCCATGAGGGAGGAGGTGGCGTTGCACGTCGACAAGGCGGCGTACGACGCCCATGCGCGGATGTTGAAGCAGCACAACTACGGAGCCGCGATCCTCGTGATGGGGTGCGTTGCAATGGCCCGGGGCTGCCGTGCGAGCCCAGCCGCTGGCGCGTTCGGTGGAGCTCCCTATGGGGCCGCGATCCTCGTGAGGGGTGTGCCGAAATGCCCCGAGGCCGCCATGCGAGCCTTGCCACTGGCGCCTTCGCTGGAGCTCCAATGGGGCCACGATCCTCGTGAGGGGCGTGCCAGAATGGCCCGAGGCCGCCGTGCGAATTCTGCCGCTGGCGCCTTCGGTGGAGCTCCCTATGGGGCCACGATCCTCGTGAGCGGTGTGCCGAAATGGCCCGAGGCCGCCGTGCGAACCTTGCCACTGGCGCCTTCGGTGGAGCTCCCAATGGGGCCACGATCCTGGTGACGGGCGTGCCGAAATTGCTTGGGGCCCCCATGCGAACCCTGCCACTGGGGCCTTCGGCGGAGCTCCCTATGGAGCCACGATCCTCGTGAGGGGTGTGCCGAAATGCCCCGAGGCCGCCATGCGAAACCTGCCAATGGCGCCTTCGGCGGAGCTCCCTATGGGGCCACGATCCTCGTTAGGGGTGTGCCGAAATGCCCCGAGGCCCCCGTGCGAACCCTGCCACTGGCGCCTTCGGCGGAGCTCCTTGTGGGGCCACGATCCTCGTGAGGGGTGTGCCGAAATGGCCTGAGGTCCCCATGCGAATCCTGCCGCTTGCGCATTCGCTGAAGCTCCCTATGGGGCCACGACCCTCGTGAGGGGTGTGCCGAAAAAGGCCCGAGGCCGCCATGCGAACACTGCCGCTGGCGCCTTCGGTGGAGCTCCCTATGGGGCCACGATCCTCGTGAGGGGCGTGCCGAAAAAAGGCCCCGAGGCCGCCATGCGAAAATTGCCACTGGGACCTTCGGCGGAGCTCCCTATGGGGCCACGATCCTCGTGAGGGGCGTGCCGAAATGCCCCGAGGCCGCCATGCGAACACTGCCACTGGAGCCTTCGGTGGAGCTCCTTATGGGGCCACGATCGTCGTGACGCGTGTGCCGAAATAGCCCGAGGCCGCCATGCGAACCCTGCCACTGGCGCCTTCGGTGGAGCTCCCTAGGGGCCACGATCCTCGTGAGGGGTGTGCCGAAATGGGCCGAGGCCGCCATGCTAACCTTGCCGTTGGCGCCTTCGGTGGAGCTCCTTATGGGGCCACGATCCTCGTAAGGGGTGTGCCGACATGGGCCGAGGCCGCCATGCGAACCCTGCCACTGGCGCCTTCGGTGGAGCTCCCTAGGGGCCACGATCCTCGTGAGGGGTGTGCCGAAGAAAAGCCCGAGGCCGCCATGCGAACACTGCCGCTGGCGCCTTCGGTGGAGCTCCCTATGGGGCCACGATCCTCGTGAGGGGTGTGCCGAAAAAGGCCCCGGGTCGCCATGCGAACCCTGCCACTGGGGCCTTCCGTGGAGCTCCCTATGGGGCCACGAAGCACTGCACTGGGTGGGTGCAACGCACGGAGGAGGGAGGAGGAGAGGAGAGGAACGCGGGGCACCGTCTCTTCAAAACGAGGACCCAACACCACAGCTTGGTTGGGAACAAACTATTTAGGGCTAGGGCTATGGGGCTTTAGGACCATAGGTGTATATGGTATACAACTATCAGGCTGCAGGGCTGTAAGGCTACAGGCATATAGAGCTATTGAGCTATACGGCTATAGGGCGCTTCGGCGATAGGGCTGTAAGGCTATAGGACTATAGGTCTATACGCTATAGGGTTATACGGCTATACGGCTATAAAACAGCAGGGTTATAGGGTTATGGGCTATACGGCTACAGGGTTGGGCTATCAGGTTATAGGGCTTTAGGGCTATACGACTATAAAGCTATTGGGCTATAGGGCTATTGGTCTATACGGCTAGTGGGTTATAGGGCTATAAGGCTACTAGGCTATAGGGCTATAGGGCTATTTGGCTATAGGGTTCTAGGGCTATAGGGCTACAGGGCTATAGGGTTATAGGGCTATAGGGCTATAAGGTTATAAGCCTATAGGGCTATTTGGCTACATGTCTATCGGGCAATTGGGCACCTGGGCACCCCGGCACCTGGGCACCCGGGCGTGCCGCCGAAATCGGTACCATGTCTCACTAACCATATTCATCCCCTAGGACCCCTACAGACGCAAGCTCTGATTGTGGAATATTGATCTGCTCGTCGCAGCATGTTCCTCCCTCTTTCCCTGATACCCCTCCTCCTCCCTCATACCTGCCCATGCCTCTTGATTGCACGGCGCTATTCGAGTTAGCCCGTTGTCTTTCCACTCTCGACGCCGCGCGCTGCTTTGTCATCGCCATCGCAGTCGACGATCGTGAAGTCGGACACTCGGCTCGGCGAGTATTAACGAAGATGCTGACGCAGCGAGGTGTATATCACATCGGCCAACTGAGCAAGATGTGGTGAATAGTGAATGGGAAGATATCATCATCATTGTCACCGTCATCGTCATCGCCATTCTTATCCTCCTCTTCCCTCATCTCTCCTCACTGTTCTCTCTGGTCCTCTGGTCGTGTTGGACCGTGTCTGCCCACGTCTCCAGATGCCCACAGAGGTCTCTGGAGATCAGACCTGAAGGCTTTTGCAATATATGGGATGCCCGCGCAGGCCTCTGGAGGCTTTTTGCGGCAGACAAACATGCTGAAGACGCTCAATGAACTGAACCCAGCGACGACGTTGATTCTGACTTCTATGTGGTGATCTCTGGTAACGCTCCAGCCAAACTGGAGCACTGGTCCCCTCGCTGGGTCTGTCGTGGACGACAAACCCAGATAAAAGCGCCCGGCAGTTTGGAGAAAGACGTCGTCGTCATCGTCGTTGTCGGGCTCGCCGTCGCTTTCATTCGCCTCGGCAGGCTTCGGTGTGGGCTCCGTGTCCGGGAACGTGGTGCGGGACATGATCTGCTCGGCGTCCGCGTCGGAGGCGTGTGGGGGGGGGGGTGGTCCTCCCGGCACCTCAGCTACGCGTAAGAGTCAGGGCCCCCTACACCAGGACATGGCTACCTGGGACGCTGAAAGTTCCACCTGGAGAGAAGGCAGAATGGAGCAATGTTTCGTCTCACGGCTGCAGTTCTCTCGGGCGCGCCCAGCGTTTGGGTTCAGTAAAGTCCCCGTTTGGATCCAGGGGGCCCGGCAGTGTCCTGTCGCCGTGGTGACCGCGGGTGCGTTGCTTTCGGGGACGTTGCACGGGCCCCAGTGCGCAGGCCGCTGCCGTCGCATCGCGGTTCAGCGGTCGGCATGTCGCGCGACACAGGGGTGGCTGCCGCCTTTGGCCGAGCCGCCTCTCGGCCGCCCGCCTCGCCACAAAGAGGATCGATCGATGTGTTCGACGGGCTGAGGCTCTTGGGAGTGTCTGTGCCCCCTGGGGCCCTGCAGGAGCGCAGCTTCAAGTCGGGCTTGTCCCTCTACAGGAGGAGCATTAAAAGAAGATAGTCAAACAAACAGTCGGGGGACGATGTTCCTCGCATTTGTTGACTATGTTTGAATATGGTTTGCGTGTCCTCGCTTTTCCGTCCAAAATCCGCCTGTAGGGGGACATGCCCGACCTAAGCGCAGCTCCGAGGCAGGCGGCATCAGGCACAACCTCTCGGAGGTTCGCGCGGATGTCTTCGACCTGCGAGGGGTCCCCCCTGGTGGCGCCTCCCCGGCGCCGCTCCCGGCCCGCCCCGTACGCTCAGGAGCGGCTCGCACTGCGATGGTCGAAGAAGAAAACGCCCTCAACATAAACTGTGTGTGGCGCTTCGCGCGGATTCCTTGTATCCGCGCCGGGCCCCCATGGCGGCGCCTCCGGCGCCGCCCCTGGCGCGCTCCAGAGTCCAGCGCAGATCCAAGGAATCCGCGCGGCGCGCCAGAAGTTTACATTTGTGGCGTTCTGTTCTTCTTCCAGTCGAAGCGTCCAGGTCAGACGCTTGTCGAGATGATTCAACACGTGCCGACCTGCCTTGTGCCGAGGGTGTCCTGCCAAGCTCACGTGTTTTGCCCGAGCGTTGAGCTCCGTGTTGGCGCGATACGGGTTGCGTGTTGCGTATCGGGCCAGCGAAGTCCGGGAGTCTTTTCGCCGCCAGTGTTGCCATCCCCTTGGAAATTCTCCACGCTTCGTGTATCCTTACCAGCCTATTCATAAACCCTGCCTATGAAAGCTGACTGTCAACATGGACGAAGAGACATGTGTAATGAAACTAGGCGGACACCCAGGGTGTACAGAGATATCTCTGGGAACATGGGGGTGGCCCAGGAGGTCCTCGTCGGGCCATCCTTGGGGCCCGCGTGGGGGCGAGGGAAGGAGGAAAAGGAGGAGTAGTAGGAGGAGGAGGAGGAGGAGGACGACGACGGACAACCACGACGACGAGGAACAGGATGACGATGAGGGCAAGAACGAGGTCGAGGACGAGGAGGAGGAGGAGGAGGAGAAGGATAACGAGAACGAGGACAGAGCTCTCAACATCGCCTCTTGGCGCTCTCTTGGGACTCTGTTGAGGGATCTTCGGGTCCTCTTGGAGCTCTCTTGTGGGGGGTCCTGGGGCCCTCCTGGGCCCTCTTGAAGCTCGCTTGGGGGTCCCTTGGGAGCCCGCGCCCTGGAGCCCTAAGGAGTCAAAAGGGGGAGGTCCTACATTTGCGCGCCCCGCCCCCCCCCCCCCCCCCTGGGGCCATCAGCATCGCCTCTTTGGGCGCTCCTGGGACGCTCTTGGGCCGATCTCGGGCGCTCTTGCGGCCCTGTTGGGGGCCCTGTGGGCCCCTTTGGGGGGGCTCTTTTGGGGCCGTTCCGGGGCAATCCGGAGGCCTCCAACCGCATCGGGAGCGAAAAAGCGAGAAGGCGACTGTCATGGCTCTCCCTCTGGTGTTTGGAAATTTTTGGGCCTCTTCTGGGAGTCCTGAGGGGGCGCCGAGAGCACTTGAAACCGCCGTTTTGTGGCCCTCGTTGGGCCTCTTGCAGCCACATCAGACGCTATCTTTGAGCCACTGTCGGTTCTCTTGAGCTGATTTGGATGCAATCGTGGATCATCGGAGGCCTTATTGCAGCCATCTCCAGCCATCTTGGACGCTCTAACCCCTCGCAGCCCCCCCCGCCACACAACAAAAAAAAAACTCATGGAGGGGAGGGGGGGGCCGCTCCCCGAAGGGAATAGGGTGTTCGGAAGAGGAATTCAAGAACTCATCAGACCACCTCAGCTGAAAGCAAGGGCACCCTCGAGGGCGCGAAGTTATTCGCGCTTCGCGCTTCGCGGTTCGGCTCCGATTCCTCCTCATCCTCCTCTTCTCCCCTGGGAGGCGGCGCGAGAGCGCGAAGTTATTCGCACTTCGCGCTTCGCGCAGCGCGAAGCACGAGGTTGGGAGCCCCTGCGAAGTGCTGGTGGGGTTCTGGCCCGGACAGCTCCGGGCGGGTCCGTTCTGGAGCCTGGGCCCCTGCCCCAGGAGGAAAGACGATGACGGGGACGACGTCGAGGCTCGGACCTGGTTGGGCGGAGGGGGAGGGGGGGGGTGGGGGGGAACTCGTTGAGAAGAATAGAGCCCCTAACCCCAAGGACGCCATGAAGGCGTAGCCTGAATTGGGCCCCACAGCTGGGATCAGAGAGCAAATGCTACTGTATGGGTTGTGTCGTTGATGAATCTGCAAGAAAGACACTCTATCCCAATGTGTTTGACCTTCTAAATTAGGTCCCCTCTCGAACGGTTAGGGCTCACTTCATTGCGAGTCAGAAGGGGTGGGGTCACGGAATCTGCTGCGTGCAGCTGGTTGCGGCCTGGCCGCCCAGCGTGTTCTTCGAGACGCGGTCGATCCCTGCGCTGGGAGGCGCCGCATGCATCGCCATGAAAGGAGTCTTGAGGGAAACGGGTCCTTCGGCAGCAGACCACGGGAGCCTTGTGAACCATCTATTTCTGTTTTCAGAGTGCATTCGCGTCAATCAAAGTCTGGCGAACGAGGGGAAAGCGACGACTTGGCGTGGATGAGCGTTGTGTCTAGCGTCGATTAGCGTCGACTTAGTGCTGATAAGCGTCGGCCATCGTCGAGTAGCATCGATCGGCGTCGATCCGCAAGAGCCAACAGGATGGTATGGGAGGTTCCCGTGAGTTGCCACCGAAGGGTCTTCGACCCCGCTTTCCCCGGGGCCAGATCTTCGTCCCGGGCAGTTGATGACGTGGGCATGTTCTTTACCCTTCTGGGTTCGGTTCCCAACACTGCTCGCGCGCCTCCTTCCCCTCCTTCCCGCCTCTCTCCTCATCTCATCTTTCCTGCCTGCCTCTGACCCCGCTCCTTCCTGCCAGCCAGCTCGCCTTCTACCTGGTCATCTGTGGGGAGCTGCGATCTGCGAAACAGTCGCCACTTCCGAGGGCTGCTGGGGGGGTGCAGCGGAGGGACGTCCTACGCGGATCACCAGGAGACCTCGCCATCATTGGGGGGGGCTGCGATCTGCGAAATCGTCGCTACTTTCGAGGGTTGCCGGGGGGTCGGCGGAGGGACGTCCTACGCGGACCACCAGGAGACCTCGCCATCCCTGGGGGGCTGCGATCTGGGAAGCTGTCGCCATTTTTGAAGGCTGCCGGAGGGTGCAGCGGAGTGACGTCCTACTCGGATCACCAGGAGACCTCGCCATCCCCAGAGGGGGCTGCGATCCTCGAACTGTCGCTACTTTCCAGGGCTCGGGGGTGCAGCGGGGTGACGTCTTACGCGGATCACCAGGAGACCTCGCCATCCCTGGGGGGGCTGCGATCTGCGAAGTTGTCGCCACTTTCAAGGGCTGCTGGGGGGTGCACCGAAGTGACGTCCTACGCGGACCGCCAGGAGACCTCGCCATCATTGGGGGGGGGCTGCGACCTGCGACGTTGTCGCCGCGTTTCAGGGCTGCTGGGGGGTGCAGCGAAGTGACGTCCCACGCGGACCGCCAGGAGACCTCGCCATTTTTGGGGAACCTGGGATCTGCGAAGCTGTCGCCACTCTAGGGCTCCTGGGGGGTGCAGCGGAGTGACGCCTTACCAGGGGACTTCGCCATTCCCTGGGGGGCTGCGGACTGCGAACTGTCGCCACTTTCGGGGGCTGCATGGGGGTGCAGCGGGGTGACGTCTTACGCGGATCACCATGAGTCCTCGCCATCCCTGGTGGGGCTGCGATCTGCGACCTGTCGCCACTTTCGAGGGCTGCTGGGGGGTGCAGCGAAGTGACGTCCCAATCGGACAACCAGGAGACCTCGCCTTCCTTGGGGGGCTGCGATCCGAGAAGCTGTCGCCACTTTCGAGGGCTGCTGGGGGGTGCAGCGGAGTGTCGTCTTACGCGGATCACTAGACCTCGCCATCCCAGGGGGGGCTGCGATCTGTGAAGTTGTCGCTACGTTCGAGGGCTGCTGGGGGGTGCACCGAAGTGACGTCCTACGCGGACCGCCGGGAGACCTCGCCATCATTGGGGGGGGCTGCGATCTGCGAAACGGTCAGCACGTTCGAGGGCTGCTGGGGGGTGCAGCGAAGTGACGTCCTACGCGGACCACCATCGGCAACACCCCAACATACTTATACTATATGTGCGTCGCCCCCCCAGGGGCGACGCGCGCACCGAGAAATCTTATAGTATATGCGTCGTGGCGGGCGCTTTCTGGCCACACCGCTCGGGAAACGATATACTACAAGATGGGTATACTATATGTTCGGGTCGGACGCGCGCCTCCAAGGCGGACACATAGTATTAGTATGTTTCTGTGCATCCCACACCAGGAGACCTCGCCATCCCTGGGGGGCTGCGATCTGGGAAGCTTTCGCCAGTTTTGAAGGCTGCTGGGGGGTGCAGCGGAGTGACGTCCTACGCGGATCACCAGGAGACCTCGCCATCCCGGCGGGGGCTGCGATCTGCGAACTGTCGCAACGTTTCAGGGCTGCTGGGGGGTGCGGCGAAGTGACGTCCCAATCGGACAACCAGGAGACCTCGACATCCTTCGG